TTCGAATTTCAATTCAAAAGTGTTAAAAAAAATACTCTTTGTGGTAGTCTCAATCATATATAAACTCCAATTATCTTATTACTTTCATATTTAAGCAATTTAGATTTTTCTTATAAGTCCTAGCTTTAATCAATCAGCTTTGAAAAGCTGCAACTTCTAATTTGATCATCCACTTGATGTGAAATTTTTTATGCAATTGTCAATATAAGTCTTCTATATGCTCAAGAAATTTCAGCCCAATCCAAATTATAGATTGTGAAAAAACTTCTAAAAATTGCACTAATGTCACTCAGTCCCTAATTTAAAAGGTGATGCAGAAGTTCAAAGAGTGATTTTTCCTTCTTCAACTATTAATTCCAACTCAAAATTATTATATAGCTTGATCTTTAAGTCTTCTAACACCATGCCAAATTTCACCTTAATCCAACTAGTAGATCTTTAGATTTCATAAAAATCCTATCCATCCCAACTTCCAATATATTTTTGCATCAAAATCCAAATATCTTCCAATTGCATTGTTGGATTATCACAATATTTCACATACATTTAGAACACCTAATTAAATAAGTACTACCAAGATTTGAACTATAGATGTAATACCAATTTTACGAACTAGTTAAGAGTGCTAGTTCTAATTTTATTCCATAAATTCCAAGTTGCCAATACAAACCTTGATTTCAAACAAAAATTGTAAAGTTTAAACACATCTTACTAAAACCAACTTTATGTCTTTGAAACAAGCTCCAACCTAGCTCTCAAATCCTAATCTTTGATCTTCAAATGAAATCCTATTTTGCCCTAGGCAGTTGTTTTAATAGCTAGAGGTCTAATTTTGACAATGTTCTCCAAATGGTCGATCCCTGAGTATCAATCTAATATATCCTAAGGACTTTTTAGCCCAATCCTATCGTCAATTTAATCTTAGTATCAACCATATTAATTATTTACCTCTTCTAATCTGATTTTATTAATTTATGGTCTTTCTAAGATAATAAAAGAGTCTCTATAGCCTAGAAGGTAAAAGTACTAACCAAACTTCAACCTACTAACTATTAAGATAAAAAAATAACCTAAGTGGCTTTTATAAAAGCCATATTTAGATACCTCAAATTATTGTTGAACAAAGATAATTAGGTATTAATTAAAAATTCAATTTTGATTATATTTTTACTATATAATTATATTACATCACAACAATGTGAATGGTGGAAAAGACAACCAAAGGAGCAAAAAGAATAGAGCAACTCATACATAGATATCAAAAATGTCTTTCCAATCGACTTATCTAATAGTGTTGTCGGGGTAGAGAGAGTTTGCCTTAAAAAAGCACTAGGTTCCTTGTTGCGACTAATTGCTCAATCAAGTCTTGAGATAAGAAAGACCAAGTTCATATATATATATATATATATATATATATATATATATATATATATATATATTTTAGGTACTATTAAACCAAATATATAAGTCTTAAGTTCCTAAAAATACCTAAAATATGATAAATCCTCTAAATCCTTAAATATCCTTATAGGATATTATTTCCAAATTTCAAAAACTCATATCTTTTAATTGGACTATTTAAACACATTCAAATTTTACATGAAGTACTAATATATTTGTAAAAACTACCACAACAAATTTCAATTACAAATTCGTCACAGTTCTTAAGATATCACCAAAATCCTAACAGTAGCTTCAAATCCTAGTTTTTATACAACAGCATACAATTTTCTTCATATCTTACAAACTAATCACTCAAATGCCACAAAATTTATATGTATAGCTTTTTAATATAATAATCTACTTTTTCCAAAAAGTTTGAGCCAAAAACTCGTCTAAAAACTCAAGATATGGCTCCAACCATTACTATGAAAAAAATCACTTACATACTGCCTATGATTTGAATTTGCTAACTTCAATCCTTTATAACTTCTTTATCCAAACTCCAAATTCATTAAGCAATATATAAAAGATGTACTCAAAAACTTTCTCTCTTCAATCCTAGTTGCCGAACTTTTGTTGCTAATTTTTGGAAGTAAACTTTTATAAAAACTTTTGATAACATGTTTGACATTGTTTATCATGGTTGTAGAGGAGTTGGATTTATAGCTTTGAATTGATTTTTATAAGAAAAATTTATTTTTAAGGTGTTCTAAAATCATCTTTTGTATGTTAATTTTTAGGAAATATTTTTTATATTTAAATATATATATATATATATATATATATTGCATGAAATTAGTTTAATTTCTAAAAATTTAATAATAATACTTAAATATTTTGTGTTTGGTTGATGGTTTGCTTATTGATTAGTATTTAATTAACAAAAAGTATAGAAGATGGTGGATAATTGAGATCTTAAAATTTGTGACAAACATATCTCAATGTTTTTTGATTTTACATTATTTATACAAATACATTTAGTACATAAATTTATTTTTATAATATATATGATATTGTATTAAAATAAAAGATAAAAAAAATAATATTAAATTTTAAGTATCATATATATACTATTACAGATTTTCGTACAATTTAATTAAGATTATTTTTCTTTTCGAGTATTTAAAATAATTCTTATAATTTATAGCAATATAATTTATTGAATTTCGAATTTAATGTATAAGATGATATTTATAATAGAATAAACCTCTCAATACAAATTATTTTTTGATTAAAATAATATGAAATGATTCATATTATTTGAAAAAAAATCATATTGGTTATCAATTCATTTGAAATCATATTTCTATAAAATAAAAACACAAAAAAAATTTAAAATACAAAAAATACAAAAAAAATCATATTAATAGCATTTATTATGATACTTTTACAAATTAATTTACATAGTTGATATGACGTAATTTTTAATAGATCGTAAATCTCTCATAGATCCAAATATCATAAATAAAAAAATAAAAATACCTATTTTATCTTAAATATTTAATATTTTATTTTAAATTTTTATTTTAAAACATATGTCATTTTTTTAATTATAAATGGCTATAAATTTATATAAAATATTATGTAAAAAATTAGATGTGACAATAAAGGAATAACAAGTTTTAAATATGGATACTTTGATCTTATATAGATAATGATAAGATTGGATAAAATATTTGAGATAAGCTTTCTAAAGAAGTTGTTCTTTAGAAGAATTGGCCTTTAGAAAGAAAGTAAAATAAAAATAGGCTATGAATTTTATTTTAAAATCTTAATATAGATTTTTTATCTTAAATATCAAAAAAAAATTACAATATTTTTTAAAAATTTGATAAATATTTTTTTAAAGTTTGATAAGCTTTTTTGAATTTCAAATTAAAAACTAAAAGTAGAATCACATCTTAAAGAGGTCTAATTCAAATTCTAAGGGACAAAATTATTTGTGCCTTGTAGAAAATTAAAACAAGTGATTATTTTTTCTTCTTTCAACATTTTAATTAATTTTCTCAAGTGCAACCTTTAAAATTTATAAGATCTCACTTTTTTCCTTTAATATATGGACTCATAAAGACAATTCAAATTACATAATTAATTATAAAAAAATTAAAAACAGACACACTATCTTTTAGATTGTAAAGAATAAAAAGATACAAAATCAATGTTGAAAATATGAATAAATAAATTTATAAGTGGGCACCATATATCTTGTGTGTTTTTTTTTTTTTTTTTTTTTTGCAAATATTATAACTTAAATAGGTAACTTAATTGCATTTATTGTCATCTATATATTGCCTCATAAATAATATTTACTCAAATGTATTATGTTGTTTGAATTGGAGTGTATTTCTTTATTTTTGAAACTCCTAGAAAAAGTAAAAATTTATTGTAATGAATCAAAAGATGAACATGTTTGAAATTGTTTTAGTTGGGATAATAAAAGAAGCAATTATTTGGTTATTAGTTGATAACCAATAATCAAGCATAAAATTGGTTGTACAAAAATAGAAATTATTATTAGTTGATACCTATATTTCTATGAAATATTTTAAGCATGTGTTTTTGTTATTTGTTAATTGATTCTTTTAGTATTATAACAAGTGTTATTAGACCATAAGGATTGTATTACTGAAAAAAATGCAACAATTATTGCATGTTGTTTATTTTCCACAAAATTGGCTGCAACTTGTTCAGCTAGGAATTTATTGGTTTTTAATTTTTAATTTTTTGCATTTATTGCGGGAAGATTCCTTTGTATTATTTGTATTTTAGTTTAATGCTAACCAGACTTGCTGATTAGGCAAGTTTTTTTTTTTTTTTTTTTTTTTTTTTTTTTTTTTGGTTTTGTTTTTGTTTTTTTTTTTTTTTGATGAAATATAGTGCTTGTCAAGATGATCTCAACATAAAAGTGTGCATATATGACTTTTGATTTATTTTTTTGTAAAATCTTAATTCATAAATTATATATGTTATTTTACATATTTTTACTAAATTGTATTCATTGGTTAACAAATCTTTAGTTCCATCATTAGTACATTCTACACATAAACATTACTTAGATTATATAGCTTTGTAGCCTTTGAATGCAAATCAACTACATTAAGATAAACCAACAACATTCAATTTTAAATGTACATTTGTGTTTTATACTATATAAGAATTCTCCAATGTGGGGGAGAATTGCCCAAGCCACGAAACCCAGAATATAAATCCAAAGGTAACCCCAAAGTGAGGAAGGAGGGGAATACCAAAGTGACCACGTTGGACACACACTAATCCACGTGGACACACAAACAAAATAGCAACCATGACCTGGCTGGCCACGCCAGCAGGGACCTACCTACCTACCTACCAAGAGGGAGAGAAGGGAGGGAGGGAACAAGAGGGGAACGGACGAAGAAGGGAATCGACACGTAGGACAGCCAACCAGGGAAGGAAATGAGAAAGGATTAAGCGTGATGAACGGGGAGGGGGGGGAGGGGTTAATTCCACTAAGTGGGGTCCCTTAACCCTAGTTAAAACCTAGGGCTATCGTCCCCAAGGCCACAGATAAAGGGGGTCCTCACGGCGCTGCCTGCTCTGCTTACCAAGGGATTACATTACTACCACAGTCGGGGCGTTGTGGCCATGGCGGATGCTAGGGTTCTCTCCTGTACATGACGGGTTCTCCAACATCTCTCCCACTTCCGTAGCTTTGCGTTTGTGCACGACAGGGAGAAAATAGTTAGTTCCGTCGAAAGTGTGTTCGGAATTCAGTGCAGGATCGGGGTCATACGTCGCAAAGAGAGCGAGAGAGAGAAAGAGCTTGAGGTGGCGGAGGTCGTGCAGTGGAGTCCGGAGGCTTGTTGTTGGAGGTAATGCGAGTTGCAGGAGTTGCTTGGAGGTGCTTTAGTTGATGTGGCGTTCTCCTGGAAGCATCTGGAGGTCTAGGAAGTAGAGTGGGGATTGGTTTTGTGGTTTGTGTATTGGATCTTGATGGTGATTTCGTCAATTGAGAGTGGCTGGAGTTCACACGGTGAGAATAGATAGCTGTCATGTGGTTAGACTTGAGCTCGTTTTGCTCCGGTTTGTGTAAATTTGCATCCTCGGTACGATGGTATTGAGGTTTCGGCATTTTAGGGCACATCTCAATTGTCCTCTGTGTCTTTCTACTGTGTATTTAGTATGTATTCCGTGTAATTTCCCTTGTTTGTTTGGTTTTTTTAAGTCATGGAACAAGCTCTTCACTCTACTCAAGCTGCCATTGCTTGGATTGCTTGTTCGCGCTGATATTATACTGTGCTTCACTGGTATTGTGTACTGTTCCAGCAAGCAGTAACATTTAGGATTTTACGCTATGGATTTATTCATTTCAATGTGACCACCAATCATGCAAATGCTTGTGCATTTAATTCCGGGATTTTTGTTTTGTTTTCTTTCCTTTTTAACAGCATTACAAGCTGCTTTCTGAGCGGTGTTTTCCTTCAAACTGGTGGTTGTCTTTGGTCAACCAGATTCTATGAACCGTATGTCGGTGCAGTCGCTGTAGCTCGTGTGAGCTGAACTGCGGGAGGGGGGGGGCGATTACCGTTGCTCTGTTTCATATTTTGTCAGCATTTTGATGGTTTATGGATTTAGGTGTTAATCACATTTTTTTAATATGAGGATGTCCATTAGCGGATACACATTCCACTCTAGATGGAAAATGTTTTGTTCCTTGTTTACTCATCGTATTGCTCTGTGATTTGTTGGTGCTCGGGCGGCTCGACTGTTTAGCAATGTCTTTTGTGGCTTGAATGTATGTCTCCTACAATTCATTTGATTCGCTCCAGCAGGTTCCTAGTTTTTCCACTACCAAGGTTAAACGTTTACCGGAGCAGTTGCCGCAAGTGATGTGTGTCATTTCTACGGTTGTTTATCTCGTCTGAGACGTCTTGTGAGCTTTCTGGAAATGTGTCTCATGTTCGTCTTTATAGTTGTATTTTGAGTCTTGTATGGTTTTGCATGTGGTCAAACATTTGTTCAAGTGTCTCTTTGACAGATCATCGCATCATTGTAACATTTCTGTCGGGACAAATCCTTAAGCGTTCTCTTTGTGAGCATTTGTTAAGAGCCAGCATCTATTGTGTGTGTTATTCCTAAGTGATGTTCGACACTGTTTCAGAAGTGATCAGTCAAGTTCCTCATACTTTACTTGAGATATCTGTGATTTTCTTCCACATTAATCACTGAATATGCAAGTAATAGTGTACCTTGTTAATTAATACATATCTAGCACTTAGGCTGGAGGAAGTATATATTGACCTTGAGATGCATCTGTTGCAGGCTATCAATGCACTGCCTTCTGGGTACGGGGTCGTCGGTATTTTCCTTATTAATTTTTAGCTTTCTATCAAGAAGGTTACAGTAAAACTGCATTGTAACTTGTAGACAAGCAATTCGTAACTGTGAAAACTATACTCGGTGAAAACTTTTAAAGGAGGATGCAGAAGTCTGCTGAAAAGAGTCTTAGGATGGAAGAAACAGAGGAAAAGCCTAGTAACAACGCGCGGCCTTCCTCTCGGTCAAGTCGGGACGAATTCTTTGATGCTTCCCAGTACGCGTTCTTTGGAGGAAATGTATCAGAAGAAGTGGAACTAGGAGGTTTGGATGAAGAAGACACCGGTGAGCAACTTGAAGATGGAGAAGATGCTCTTGATAACCTTGTCGAGAGGGATGAGGTGATTTTTGAACTCTAATTGCAAATGATGTGCATGGTCTGATGGTCCCATTCTTAGGTTACTACAATTCGCAGGTTTCAGGGATTTTATCTACGGATGAATACGTGATTTGTTGTATTGTGCTCTTTTATTGCATAATGATATGTGGAGGGAGCTGATGTAATCTTTGCCTACTGCATTGAAATTTGACCAGCCTGCACATCCAGGACTTCGTACTTGACAGTTTGCACCGAAATTGGTTGGAATTGCGACCTATATTTCGCTGATGCAAGCTTCGTTGTTTGTCAGATGTCAGCAGCAGATGCCACTCCTGAATGGGACAATGTGTCAGATCTTGCTTTATCCTTCGCAAAGGTAAGACACTTCAAAATTACATCTTTGCATACTGGCTTTCTATTGACTAGAGTAGATGCATCTACTTGTCCCATGCAAGCCTCCAGCAGTTTTGCTCGTTTCCAACATTACATTTTTTATCGATAGGTTAAGAATGTTTGCCAAACAAAATAAATAGATAGCTGGAAGCTCAAGTGATCGTGTTGTGTTTCTACCTGAATGCAGCTTAATAGTGTATCTCCTCGAAGAGAAGAGGTGCCGCGAAGCGGATTGGACGAAGGAAGGCAGTTTTTGTTGAACAGAGATGGTACTTGACCTCTCTTAATTTAAAGCATGTCAAGTTCCCTCTCAACTTCTTGATTGTATGTTGTGTGTTTAAGTTCACTCTCCTTAGAGCCTCGATTTTGTGTTGCTTTACAGCTGCAGTTCCACGTGAAAGATCGTTCGAGGGGGCTCCTGCACACAATTGGCTGGACCGACCGACATTGGATGCGGAAGTGGAGACTGGTGCAAGGAAATTGTGGCCTAACCATCAGCACCAGTTTGTTCAGGGGTTGGATTTCGATGGCATGCCCTTAGGAACTCCTCATCAACAGCCAGTGCAAGCTCAATCTCGGCAGCAGCAGCATCATCAGCAACAATGGTGGAATGGTGATCCTAATCTCCCTCACATGTCACCTCCAAACGCACTTGCAGGGGCTTATCCTCCTTCCAGGCCACATCAGGTATATTCTTCGCGAAAGAAGTAATTGGAGCGTGTTCTACATGGTTATTAATTCGCACTAGGTTTGCTTTCAATGTCTTTGGTCTTTCATAATTTTGCTGACAGTGGTTATATTTCATTTAATTTTTGCAGCGGGTTGCAACTCCACCTGGTCATCAATCTGGACAATACAGACAGCCTATGGCTGCCCCTCATAGTTTACCTCACCATGGTGCGGGCGTCATTTCTTCTCACGTAGTATATGGCCCTGGGCAGTCACCCTTTACTTCATCGGGGCATATTTCACCTCCTGCGCAATCCCCATCTGGACCTTGGGCACAACACCCAACTGGATCGGCAGTTTCTGGAAATTCTGTACCTCAGCAAATGCCACTTATGCCCCCACAGGTGATGTTACAGTACAATAGACAACAGGCCCCTCTGCATTCTAGTCCGCCCCCACCTTACGGGCAGGTTCCATATGGTAGTTCCCCATCACCTGGACCAGATCGTCTTATGCAGAAGATAAACGAAACCGGAATGCCCCGGGCGTTTTGGGACCCAAGAGAACAACGCTTTGACCCACAGTTTCGTCCTAGGCAGAATCATCAGCGTTTTCATTCGCAGAATCTTCCATCCGATGGCGGCCATGGAGGTAATTCCTTAATCCATACAAAGGTTATTTCAAGCATTGTGGTCATTAGAGGTCCTATGCACTTATCAATAGAGATTTTGACGTTCGATGAAATAAAGCTGCTTCTGCAATCATGTTTTTCTTTGTTGTAACGCTCAGCTAGTATTTGGTGTTTGAACATATTCCTGAGTATAATGGCAAGACAATTATTTTGAATTCGTTCTGTCGATTTACTGAAAATTTGTGGTTATGACAAAATTCTGTAACTATTACAGGTAGGGGAGGTCCGACTGGAATTTATCAATTCCGGTCAAAATACATGACCGCGGAAGAGATTGAGAATATAGTACGAATTCAGTGGGCTGCCACACATGGAAGTGACCCTTATATCGATGACTACTATCACCAAGCAGTGCAATCGAAACTAGCAGGAGGCACTCCCCATGGACGTCGCCACTTTGCCCCTGCACATCCTCGTGAAATGCCATCTCATGCTAGGGCAGCAGCTGAGCCTCATGCATACCTTCAAGTGGATGCCTTGGGCAGAGTACCGTACTCTTCGATTCGCAGGTGCGGTTTTCATTCTCTGGGTTTTCTTTCCGTTCTCGTTCTAGTGTCTGTTGTTGGTTCGTGGACGCTTAGCTCTGACTGTTTATATTCCACATTCATGAATTGACTGTGGAATGCAGACCACGACCACTCCTGGAGGTTGATCCAGCCCCTGCCGATGGGATGAGTATGAGTGATCATATCAATGGAAACATAGGCGTTGATGGGATGCCGTCACAAAGGCCTTTAGAACAAGAGCCTATGCTAGCAGCCCGAATTGCCATAGAGGATGGCCTCTGCCTTCTACTTGATGTCGATGATATAGACCGTTTACTGGCTGTCCAGCAACACCCTGATGGAGGTGCCCAACTCCGCAGACGTCGCCAAATTCTGCTCGAGGGTTTGGCATCATCTCTGCAATTAGCCGACCCTCTGGGTAATACCTCTGATTTGGGAAATCGTATCCTTAATGGACAATTTGTGGGGCTCAACCCCAAGGATGACCTCGTCTTTTTGCGATTAGTGTCACTTCCCAAAGGAAAGAAGCTTCTGACTAGGTACCTGCAGTTGCTGAGCCCTGGGAGTGAACTTGGACAGATAGTATGTATGGCCGTTTGTCGACACTTACGATTTTTGTTCAACGGTCCTCAGTCCGATGCCGGTGCAGCGGCTACCACATCTGCATTGGCTAATGCAGTCGCCTTGGCTGTATTGAATATGGACCTCCCGTCCTTGAGCGCTTGTTTACTTTCAGTCGTACTGGCAAGTGAGGCTGCACCTCTTCGTCCAATGGGCGCACCAGCAGGTGATGGAGCCACCGTTATTCTTAGATCCTTGTTAGAAAAGGCAAGCATGGCAAGAAGAGATAGACATGTCTTCCAAACACCACAGAGCGTTACTATATGGCAGCATGCATTTGACGCATTTTTTACGTTACTGACAAAATACTGCACCAATAAGTATGACAGCGTGGTGCACTCTTTGATGATGTTGTATCCTGGAAACATACCGGCTATTAACGCTGCTGCGGATGAAGCTCTGAAGAAAGAAATTCCCGTTGAGTTACTTCAAGCAACTCTTCCTCATACTAGTGAACAGCAGAGAAAGCTACTGTATGACCTTATCACCAACCGGACTGGCGCTATGAGTGGAACTTCTAATCAGGCGGCTGACAATCATGCGAGCTCCACTGCTACTGTACGTGGCTGATTGAAGGTCATACTGCAGCTTTAGAACTCAGACTAGAATAACAGAAGTCAAGCACGTGGACAGCGTTCTAATGTAAGTCCCGAGAGTTTCTTCTCTGCTTGAGCCGTTGTACACTGCTGAAGACTACCTTTTATCCTTTTGCTCTGATCATTCAGGGCTGTAGTTTGTAAAGTTAGAGTTGACATGCTTGTTATTGCTTTGTTTTGAACACAGTTCAGTTCCTTGAGAGTAGGTCAGATCGCTGAAGGCTAGAATCAGATTTAGGCTGTGATATGAATCGTGAACGTGGGAATGACACCTTTAGAATACGGAAGGTCTTGTAAGATTTTGTGTGGGGTGTGAGCAATTGAAAGGAAAAATGAGTGTGCAATTGGGCCAGCCCCATTCGTATATAATGGTAGAATTTTAGACAGCAGTTACATTGAAACATTTGTAGGTCCTGCACTTTCTCATCATGTGATGAGAACAGAGTTTTTACCAGACACAGCATGTAAAACGCATGTGTCGCTATACACTTGTTCTGCCTTGTGAAGACTGGCAGTAGATGGTATACAGCCCTCGCCCATCATCACTCGTGTAAGTTTATATGAAAGCTAGAATTTCCGGATATAATTTTTTGCTATATTGTGTATCTCAAATTAATCACGAAAAATTTGTCGAAATTATCAACCTTACATTTTCTGCGGTATCTGTTGTAAACTATGTACTGCAATTCTGTCGAACAACATTTCCTTTCACTTTCAGTAAATTACATCATCTCCCTGTTTATATACTCCACATCATACTACCCTAAATTACAAAATATTGTAGAGTGACAGAAAAGTCGCAGTAAAACAATTGCCAGCCGCACAAAGTAATTACCAAAATGGCCGATTTGAGCCAGAAGTGGTAACCTAGGATGTGGCAACCATGACTCATACTTGAAATGATTTCGTTTGCATCGTTTATACGCATCAATCAATGTTTCAGTTCAGCATAATCCAAATCGCTCCGTTATTTCATTTGTGCAATCAATAGCTTCAAGACAAATTTGGAAGTGGTACACATTAGTTACACACACACGTTTTGAATAACTAATCATTGTAGCGGCCTCAATGTTCATCAATACAACCATAAAACTTATCCTAGTCTAAATGTTAAACAATCTTCATAAACACAAAGACAAACACAATTACTGGCTAACAAGCAACCGCAACTTCCAATCACTGATACAAGCCTTACAGTCACCACACCTCCCATTTCCAGAAGAAAATTTCATTACAAAAAATGTTTTTGAGTTACAACGAACAGACACAGCGTCTCACTGGTTTCCATTCTTTGCCAGGAATCCCGAGGCAGCGGAAACGATGGCACCAGCCATGAACACACCCAGGGCCGGTTGGAACAGAGTGGGCCAAAGAGGAAGCCATGAATCTATCAGCGTGGAAGACTGAAGCAAGGATTTCTCACCTAGCCCAGCCACCAACCATGCAAGGATGAAGAGAATGAAGAAGAAATCCGCTACAAGAACTTTCTCTACCAAGGATTTGACCATCCCATCGCCTTCTGGTTTCCCACTCTCAGACGCATTGCCCGTGCGGTTGAAGTTCTCTATGCGTTTCTCCAAGTCCCTCTTCTTTTGAAACCGGGCAATGTCTTCCTCCAACGACGAGTTTTGGAGGAAGTCATCCTTGAAGTCTGAGTTCTCGCCAGCCGAATCCTCAAGCGATGTGAGCTCTTTCCTCCATAGAGGAACATTCTTGTCGCTGGATTCGTCTAACGCCGATGCAGTGACCTGAAGCACAGTTCCGTACTACTGACATTTTAGGATTGCATAATTCTAAATGAAAATAATACTCGAGAGCCTGTTAGAAGGACAAAAAAATGTTTCGGAAGTTGTACCGATGATGCATCAGAAGAGAGTGGAACTAAGAAGAACAGTTGAGTTTAAAACGCACATTGCCTCTGCGATTAAACGATGAGGTGAATATCTTCAAGGGCCTGCTCAGTGGGCATCGAGCTGAATGCGTTACTAGGCTGAAACTTTGAACAGCCCATCTTCTGGAATCACTCGAATCCACTTTGGAGTGGACCAATTTCATTGACGAAGATACGCTTGCGTACTGAGAATAGATGGTAGTCATCTTCACCATAAGGTGTCAAAATTGAGTGGGTTTTCGTTCAGCTGAGTGGCAGATTCGTAATGCTTGGATAAGGCGGTAGAATACAATAATAAGGCGTAAACCCTACACCCTCACGTCGGGCTCATGACCTTGAATGCCTAACAAGGTGTTGAGTTGCTTCAGGCGCTGCAATCCGTCACTGAGTAGGAAACGGATTGTCTGCGAATTTCCTTCAAAGCGATGCAGCTCGAATTCCCGCCGGATGGTTTGTTCCAATTCCTCTGATTCCAGACGAAAACACATACTATTAAGTCCATGGTATTGCCTCCGGACCCATATACTCGTTCAAACACGGTTATGTTGACCCTCTTCCAATTTTAATTACAATCCTGCACTCCACTGCCGTTGCTGAGACGAGTCTCGACAAATTCCCAGTCAATCCCACAATCATAACGATCATTTCACACACCACATCCATCCAATTGGAGAGGAAACCAGCTCTTAACGGCGATACATCATTAGAACATTGCTCTCGCAGAACAACACCATGACACTCACATTCCTGCTAACGGGATGCTTTTCTCTCGTAATCAAGCCAGACAAAGACGTAGCACTGGAGGAAGAAGAAACCCAACAGAGCGTGTGTCATGGAAACAAGGCTGATTGCGACCTAAAATCCCTCGATAAACCAGCGGGTACTATCACCGAAGCGATCCTCCCCCAAAAAATAACAATAATAATAATAAAATGCAAGAATACACAGCACATCGACCCACCCACCTCGGGAATAAGCTGGAGCTCGACGCGCAGACCGCAAGGCTGCTCGGTACAAGCGAATGCAGTGGCCTCGCAGCAGGAAAGCTCGCAGATCCAAAGGAGGCCCTCTCACACCCATCACACGAACATTCTTTTTCCTGCTGCGACAAAACTTGCACCCTCAACAACTGAAGACGAGATCGCAATTCTCCCGACGAAACGAAAATGAGAAGAGCTGAGCTATTCTAGACGATTCGTCGATGCGAGAAGAAGCAGGATGAGGCGATGGGCTGGTCCAAGCACGCACCGCTACGATCAGAGCGGCCATGGCCACAAACGAGAGAGAGATGACGAAAGTAACGATAACCGACGACGTTCGTTCCCCATGACGACGCTGGCGATTCTAGTGGCGTTAATCGCTGACGGAGATAATTGACGGCTTTCGTTCAACGTGTGGACGTTTCGTTTCGTCGACATTGAGGCTCGTCGCTTTGTACTGTGATCATCCTCTTCTTCTTTGTGTACATTTTTGCATAGGCTTAGGCTACAAGCACACTCCAAATTGTTATATGCACACCTATTATGTCTACATACACACACCCAAGACTTCTTATTGGCTAATCCAAATCCTTTCTTCTTAATTTTGGCCCAAGACAAGGGAAGAGAGGAAAAAGGAGAGTAGGTCCAGGACCCATGCCAAGACAAAGAAGAAAAGATTTGGATCAACCAATCAAAGGTCATGGGTGTGTGTATAGACATAATGATGTGCATATAGCAATTTGGGATGTGCTTGTAGCTTGATCCTTTTGAATAATATTAATGTGAATGAAATTTATATTCTAAATTTGTAAATATAAAGTATAGAAGTGATATATTTAGTACAATGCATAGGATGATTTTGTTGGTTAATATTTATAATTGAATTTCATTGATGGCTTAGTTAAAACATATATGTGAAAAGTCTTGAATGTCACGCCTAATCTTACTTTTATAATATAATTATTTTTTAAATGAATACAAATATTTATGAAACCAATAAAATATTTATGAAACCAATAAAATATTAATAAAGATAAGAATAAAAACATTAAATTTGTGATGTATTTTTAAAAAGTAGTTTACTGATTTCTATTCTAATAACAAAGAATTTTACTATGTAACTTCTAATACTCTACTTACCAAGACCCAATTGTTATTTATAAATACTTTCAAATCTTCTACTGGTTTCTAAACATATATTGCTTCCATCTATTTTATTGGTTATATATATATATATATATATATATATATAATAAATGATTAAATGTAGTAAAACATGTATGGATAAATTCTACCAACATTAATATATTGTATCTTTATACTTTTTATGAAAATAATTTATTAAATAAATTAGATGTGTAGATATATATATATATATATATATAGGCTTCTGAAATGATAAACCAATCAATAAAAATTACCAATATTATAATTTTAATTCTTCTATTATTTTTTTTCCTTATTAACAATATTAAATATCAATCCTTATTATTAATATCAATCCTTGTCATTAATATTTGGAATATATATAGGGTCTCGATAGTAAGATGATTATTACATGATGAAAATGGCAAAATTGTTTATATCTTTAAAAAATAAAATAGAATCTATTGAGATTGGAAATTGATTTAAATCTTGTAGATCATTGATATTATATATTAAAATATTCAACACTTAAGTAAATAGAATTTAAGAACTAAGTTAACAAAAGAAATGCATTGGATTTTATAAAATATATTGATAATAACTACTAATATTTGAAGTTGATTTATTATACTTGGTTAATATCTCATTAAATATTTTAATACATATAGAAAATGAATTTATAAAATACAAGCATAAAGCTATAAAGATGGTATTGGAATCTAAAGTTAATTATAAAAATAAAAATTATTGTTTATTTCTAATTTTTAAAAATAAAATACTACATTTAAGTTTTTACTTGTATTTAATTATATGAATAATAAATATATATATATACATATATTAAAAGAGAATTTAAAATATTATTAATTATATAAAAATAAATTATATTAAATCACAATTTGAAGATTTAATATTATTAATTTTTATATTAATAGTAATTTTTAATTTAAATGACTCAATCTATATTTTTAAGTTCTTGTATGCTCATTTATAATTCACATACTTGATTCAAATTTAAAGAAGACTATATATATATATATATATATATATATATATATAATTTTAAAAAATCATGATTAAAAATAATAAGTATAATAAGAAGCTTTGTTATAAGACAAACACATAAAGAAGCCTATACATTAGCCAAAAATGAAGCCAAAATCAACAAAATTATTAATTAGTAGAAAGACATCCAAAAAACTTTTAGTTTATTATCTATAAATAATTTTTTTGTAGCCAACGACATGGATTTTAGCTAGTCTACTATAAGCCATCTATCTAAGTCAATATTTATGAAATATTGTCATTCTTATCTACAAATAAAGGATAGAATCAAACCTTAATTACTACCAAGTTATTATCTTATTCAAATATTAAGTAAATAAATAAATATTTTCTTATTACTTTAAAATAAAATAAATAAAAATATATATATGTATATATATATATATATATATATATATATATATATATATATAAGAAAATATTAAATAGATCCAAATTTTTATTAAATCAATCCATTCATTGTCAAAGACATGAATCTCGAAGAAAGAAAATCCTCAATACATTCTTGTATCACTGAAAGGAATTAAAAAGTCATTCAAAGATGATATAATATTAAACTAGAATGACTATTATCTTCCATTCAACTTTCTCCTTAATGGCTATTTTATATAGGAATATCACTTGATATCTTCTCACTATTAGCAATGGACATGGCATATATAACAAAAGATGGTCCGTTATTTGCAGCATGCATAAAAGCTCTCACACCTACCAATAAGGATTTGGATATACTAAACTTATGGATTTCTACTTGCCTACTAGGACCTTATACTAAACTATAGAAAAAATCAAGATTGTAAGAAATCTAGTCTATCTGAAAATTATATCTTTTTAATTATAATAATCCTAAAATAATTAGATTAAAAAGAGATTTAATCATATTAAATATTACTAAATTATTGTGACCACTAGTTGCTACTTCTATAGAAATACTTTCATATATAATATCTCGAGAAGAGAATGAACATCCATCTATTACTTCTACATGTACACGTCTCATGAATATACAACTGAAGAAGATTTGAGAAGGTTCTAGGAGATTCTAGAAGATTCTAAGAAGGTTCTTATAGATCCTAGAAGTTTCCAAAAGGTTCTAATAGGTTCTAAGAAGATTTCAATAGATTCTAAGAAAGTTCTAGAAGAACATGGGAGATCCTAGAAGGTTTTAGGAGGCTTTAGATGATTTAAGAAGTTGCCAAAGAAGGATCTTAGGCTTACTTTGTTTCTAAGCCTTATGAAAACTTCTCAAGAAGCTTCCTAAGACCTAGTATATATAGAAGTCAAGGTTGAGGGAATCCTTAGTTTCGACAACTCATTTCTTGTGGTCTAGTCAAGACCTTCTTGCTTTATATCCAGTTATTATTTTAATATTGATCTTACTCTATTTCTTGGTCTTAAATCCTTGTCTTGTATATGGTCTCTAACAATTTGTCAAGACTACCATAAAATAATATTAGAAGCTTGGTCTTTCTTGATAGAGAGTAGATTACCTTCTTCTTGGAAGTACCATAGTATTCTAGAGGTTGTGGATTACCCTCTCTTAGACTAATATTATTCTTTTTTTAATATTTTTTTGATTTTCTTTTCTTTATACCATAGATTAAGTTTTTTTTTCTTTGAATGCATGTATTTCTCTGATTTTCTATGGCACAAGGTGAAAAAGTCAATATGAAAATTTTTAAAGAGATTAAATTAAATTCTATTAATAATATTCTTGAAGCATTGAAGATCAAGACAAAGACTTTATCAAAGTAGAATAAAGAACTATATATGATCATATATAATGGTCAAGGAGCCGGAGTACCTCAACTACTACATCAAATGACAATAGAGGTTCCAAATTCTCAGACAATTATACCTGCTTCAACAAACATGGAAGGTGAATCTACTCAAGCTAATGATCTGACAACAATAATAGCAAAAAAATCAAGGATCACCTTTTTAGAAAAGTTTGATGGCACCCACTCAAAATTTTGTGGCTTTGTAAACCAAGTACGACTAATCACTTTACTTCGACCTCAAAAATATTCCACTGAAGCATCTCATGTTGGTTTGATTGGAACCTTACTCTGAGGTCAAACTTTATCTTGGTTTGTTCCTTTATGTAAAAAGAATTCTCTTATATTACATAATTTTGAAGCATCTTTGGTAACATTTGCAACAGTATTTGGTGAACATGATAAGGTTCATTCTTCAACAACTATAATTCAAAGCCTTCAAAAAAGAACGTATTCTATATCAACGTATGCTTCATATTTTTGACAATTAGCATATGATATAAATTAGGGAGAAGAGGCGTTGGTAAGCCAATTTTATTGGAGAGTAAGACATGATATCAAGGACTTATTCTTATCTATGCCAGATCTTCAATTATTCAATGAATCCATTAGTCAAGCTGTGAAGTGCGATAATCATTTATTTCAATGACGACAAGATAAACGTTCTTTAATTACGCTACATATACACACCAATTATTCTACAGCTTCTTCACCATCCAATTCTAAAAATAATTTAGAAGCAAAAGATATGTAGATTGATGCAATTCACTTCAAACTTCTTTTTGAGCAAGAAAAAAAACATCAAAGAAAACTTAGCCTATGCTTATATTATAGAAAATCTGGCCACAAGATTAATAATTGTTTAGAGAAACACCATCATACATATCAAATAAAAAGTGCGGCCACATCATCAAAAGCTTTGTAAGAAAATGAGGGCGTCTAGCTACAATAGAGACTCTTGTTGGAGTAGAGAGAATTTGCCTCAAAAAAGCACTAGACTCTTGGTTGCCACTAATTGCTCAATCAAGTCTTGAGATAAGAAAGACCAAGTTTGTATATATATATATATATATATATATATATATATATATATATATATATATATATATATATATATATATAATACTTTTAGATACTATTATACCAAATATATACATCTTAAGTTTCCAAAAACACCCAAAATATGATAAAACTACTAAATCTTTAAATATCCTTCTAGGATATTATTTCTAAACTTCAAAAACTTATATCTTCTAATTGGACCATTCAAACACATTCAAATTTTACATG